AAAGAAGATCAATTTATATTTGGGCTGGGTAAATGTTTCGACTAAATATTAACAGTAATATTGATAATGATTATTGTCTTCTTAATGTTCCAACAAAATTTGCTTATTTGTTATTTCGATCCAGAAATGGGTACTCCACTTGTTACATTGTGCGTCATCATGAGTAGAAAGAAAAAAAAATTTTGTCTAAACAAAATGGCTAAAATCCTTCACTCTTCATATTGGCTAGTGTTACTCTAAAAATAATACATAATCCTCGCCTTTAAGTAGTTTTAAATCAATCAATATTAATATTGACTTGGGTGAGCATTGCATTCATCATTTTATCACTTAAAACCTGAGGAAGAGAGGAAAACTCTTTAAAGCTTGTCTTTAAGTATAATGTTTATCCAAAATTAAAAGGTATTATTGCATACTGTAATATTTTGGCATCATTTTATCCCATAAGTTGATCATTGCTTCCCTCTTATATGAAATTAATTGCAGTAGTGTCCCTCACTGTATTTCACGCAGGCTCCTCGTCATGATGTATACAAGTAGTTTGAGAGCACACACACAGTTATTCACTTAAGTTAGAATTCTAAGTGAATTTCAAATTTAAGATCAAGATGGCCAAAATGGAAAACATATTTAAGTCACAAAAACGTAAGTAGCTTGAGAGGTTTGACATGGCTTATTTACTAAAGTAAGTATTCCAAGTGAATCTTAAACTTAAGGTCAAAATAGCCGTATTAAAATAAATACAGCTATCTATTGAATTTGGTCTACTCTGGCTTTAATGTTGAAATTCACATTGAATTCACATCTCACTCTAGTAATAAGGAAAATTGTTTCATACTTACTGTAATTTTCTTTTCCTGATCATTATTCATGGCAGCATTTACTCATGGGTTAGCTCCTCCCTTACAGCAGAAAGGACAGGAAATAGAACTCTGAAACTGGTATAAATAGATCCTCCCCCTTCCCATCAGGCAGTCTTTGTAACTAGCTTCACAACTCTTATAGTATATGGGTGGGAATGTAATGCTGCCATGAATAATGATCAGGAAAAGAAAATTACGGTAAGTATTAAAAATTTTCCTTATTCCTGATCAATCATGGCAGCATTTACTCATGGGGAATACCCAAGCAGTATATATCGAGGGAGGGACAGAGTTCAAAAACAGCTAATAGCTATAAAACCATTATTGAGCTGCATAAACTTTAGAAGACTTTAAAAAAGCCAAACAAGTAATCAATAGGAAATTGTCATAAAATCTGCTCGGACAAGTTAATTTACCCTAGAGGCTGCAAGGTCAGCAACCTCCTGGCATTCAAATGTCTGAAATATCCTGAATAAATATAGAGCCAAATAGGCATGAAGGCCCTGATAGCCTAGTCTAGAGAAGGAACAATGCTAGAGAACCTCTATGAAACCCAGACACGGTCTAGAAATTATAGATCTATTATGTCAACAAGAAAGGATAATGTCCTTCTCTGATATCACATTCATCCCCTGATGGGATACCCAAGCTGGCCTGTTGCTGGGTCTTCAGGGATAAGAGGCTGAACCCTGGCATGCAGTGGGTCATTTTCACCGGTCACTAAAGGGGGTACCCAGGCTAGCCACTTTACAATAGTGTATTGCTGGGTCTTCAGGGCTTAGAGGCTGAACCCCAGCAGGGCTGCAAAAATATTGCATGGTGAGCATAAAGGAAAAAATCAAGGCCAGCATTAGCAGACTCCTTCCAAACTGCTGTGAAGGACAGGAAAAAGACTGCCTGATGGGAAGGGAGAGGACCTATTTATACCAGTTTCAAAGTTCTATTTCCTGTCCTTTCTGCTGTAACGGAGGAGCTAACCCATGAGTAAACGCTGTCATGATTGATCAGGAAATAAGCCTACAAGACATCAATTACATATCACAATAAACAAAATAACTTAAAATCTACATCTTTTGGAAGTGGGCAAACTGTTTTCATCGAACCAACTGTACTATCTTTATCGCAGACCTGTACTTTGTTTTTGTTCAGTCTTTACGCTGAGTCTAGCGACCCTACATGGAATATAATGTACAAGATCCATTCATTGCTGTTCATTCAGCTCTAAAGATTAAATTAGATAGATTGTGTACCTTTGGCTGGGTGGGAAGGCCTAAATTTAATGTTTCCTAATGTATTTATAGGAGCCCATGTCCCCAGACATTTACTGTAATATGTATCAATGCAGACAGAATCTATGAAGGAATAAGCGTAGCTGATTCATGTCTTGCCAAAACCAGAGGCTCTGTAAGCCTCAAGAGCACAAAAGCATTCCAGGCATTCATTTTCTGGACATGCACGTTCTTGGTAACCTGAAGTCCACTTTACCATTTGAAATGAGAAAACCTCTTGAAAGCTCCACACATTGTAACCCATGCAAGCTCCCTATTAATTCCTTGTCTGATAGAAAAATACCACTAAACTAGTGCTTATTACATGTAATCCAGATCACTGGCATAATGATACAGTATATTATATACTTTCCTAAACTCGTTCATTTAATATCTCACTTCCTTCCCTCGAGGCAGTGACCATTATATTTTACACATGGGTTCCAGCTGGTTTCCATTCCCCGTTCAAACATATTTCAGCGCAGATTGAAGGCGAGACGCTTTATCTGCTGTAGTCAACTTTCAGCAAACAATCCCATAGTCTTTCCTACTCACATGTTTTATTAATAGTGTTTGATTATATCAGAGAATGAACGCAGAACTTCACTGGCAAGAAAATATTCATGCTCGCTGCTTGAGTGGTATGCCTCAGTCATAGGCTTTCAAATAGAAACAGGAGTTTAGAGTAATTCGTACATAATGCTTTCCATGTCATACTGTAACTCCTGCCACCTTCATCCACCTAAAAATGCGAAAACTCCAGCAAATAGAATTTTGTGATGTTAATTATAGCATCTAGGAAACCAAGATTTTGATTAGGGTATGATGGCTCAACCCATGGGATATTGCCTTTTCTAATGCAATAAACCATACCAGAAAGAGAAAGAAACTCTCGATACCTCCTGCATAAATTTGGAGAGTGGTTGCTCAGAGATATGGTGATTCCTTCACTTGTAAAGCAGGAGATTGCTAGCATATTGTGTTTCTCTGTAGACAAATTGGAAATATGCATGATATAGATACAATATAGAACCGTATTATTAATAGGGTATACTTTAGTAAGTATATTTACTCTAGTTTCAAGCAATGATTTTTAGGTTATGTTTATGCACCTAAAAAAACAATTCACTTATTTTAACATTAAAGCGTAGTTTGGAAATTAACATTCTCTTTCTTTCAACAGGTCCTTCTTGGACAACAATCCCAACCAGCCAAAGAGACCTCCCCTCCAAGAGAAGAGACACCTGTTGCCCCACCTCCACCTGAGGACAGCTGTACCAAAAAGCCAAGATCCCGTACCAAAATTTCACTGGAGGCTTTAGGAATCCTACAGAGCTTCATTCACGATGTGGGTCTTTATCCTGACCAAGAAGCCATTCATACTTTATCTGCCCAGCTTGACCTCCCAAAACATACCATCATAAAATTCTTCCAGAACCAACGCTACCACGTTAAACATCATGGCATACTCAAGGAACATCTAGGGATTGCAGTGGATGTGGCAGAATACAAAGATGAAGAGCTCTTGACAGAATCAGAGGAGAATGACAGTGAGGAAGGCTTGGAGGAGATGTATACCGTAGAACAGGGCCAGGAAAATAGTGGCAAAATCAAGGCTAACCAATCTGAGGTGGATCAGAGATAATGCAAATCATCATTCATTAAAAATGTAACAGCAATACAAGTGCACAAGAAAAAGTCACTATTGTCATATGTAGCGCTCTCTGCTTCCTGTGGAGAGTGTGGAACATTGAGTTGTGGTATTGCTATCATCGAACCTTGCCTTGACACTTGAGTGTACAAATGACATCTGACTATAAGAAACAAGAGAAAACTTTATTTCCAAATATCTTACAATGAAGGTTCACGAAATTTACAGGACCTCAAGATTGATAAAATCAATGAAGGAAAATATTTATATAGTTGACTATATGTGTGTGAGATATATATATATATATATATATATATATATATATATATATGTATACATGCACACACACATACAAGTGTATATTTATATGTGTCAGAATATATATAATGCTATATATGGATATTTACTGTATATAGCTCTATATGTATTCACAAACACACACACACATATATTTATATATGTTGCATGGAAAGCAAACATTTCATTCTCAATGTATAGACTGTGAAATGAATTCCTTACAGACCAGACTGGGTTATGTATTAAAAAAACCACTTTAAAGTGAGATGCTCTGGGATTTCCCTTTAATTGACTGCTTTGATCTCATTGAGTGGTATTTTTTTTTTGTTTTTGTTTATTATCTGTTCAGCTCTATTGTTTTTTTTTTCTTCTTGTGTTTATCCTTGACATATTTTTTTCTTGGTCTCCTGCTTTTGTTCTGGTCGCATGGTGGGTAAATTTTATTTAACGTATGTGTTTGAAAGTAAAAAAAGAAAAAAAAGGCAATAAAAAATGTATAATATAAAAATATTCAAAAAGTGATTGCATCTTTCAAACCACAGTAATCTGAGAAAACAAAACAATTTTTTTTGCTGAAAGGACAGCAAAAGCATAACTATTTAATACATCATATTGTTTTATAGGTAACATTTGTACCATGATGTAAGTATGTGACACAACTGCCATCCATTGAACACTTTTTACTTTCTTACAAATATAGCCGTACATGCTCCAGTTCTTGATCCCTTAGGTTATGCCCCATTTAGCCCCTCCTTAGATTTCAAATGTATTGCATTTCTACAGATTATGCCTTTTAAATGCATCCATTTGAGACAACTATCTCATTCTTATGGAGAAAAAGCAGTTAAATTTGATTTTTGTTTTATAATTATCAGCTTCTTCGTTTCTGAATTTTCCACACCTACCTTAAGAAGACACACACACTGATCCAGCCAACCAGTGTCCGATCCCTAGGAATGCTGTCAGTACTTCTGTAGAATGTAGGAATTTCCTAAATACTGGACTCTTGATGTACCTTTGGAACCACTGGTCTAGCTTGAGGTGGATTGAAGTTGTAGTTAGGAATTACCAACATTATGTTTTATGTTTGACTAGGTATATAGGTTACTGCCTACAAAAGGGATATTTATTATGAACATTTGTATTGTGTATTAGGTGCTTATAGTATCCCGATGTTACAAGAATGTATGTTATGAGGTTACTCTCAGGTGGCCATCACTAGTTATATTCAGAGTGTAAACCCCCATTCTTGAGGTAGCCGAAACCAATGTTCCAGTTATCCAGAAAGAAAAAGAGGGCATAGGGACTGAGTGAATGCACACATGTTTAGTATGAAGTACAAAATACAATATATTGTAAAGTGACCAAAAATCGTAGCTCATTCTCTGGCTGGGTTGTATAACTGTAATATGCGGCTGATTTTCAGCATTTTAATTTATTGTTTATTATTATTTATTATATGAACCAGAATATTTTTACTAGATGCCGTTAAGGTTGCCCCTATGCTAAAAGAGTGCCCGGAAGAGCAAAGATACAGAGGAAGTTTGTCAACATTGCTTTCCTGGCTCTCAGCATCCTTTACTCTTTTTCTTGCAAAAGTCATGAGGGTGCACAAGTTTTGTCATGCATGGCTAGTATTAGTTCACATTAAACTGATATAGGTGAATTAGCGGGAGAGTGAGTGGTGGGTAAGAGGCAGGGAGGAGGTTGATGAACTTCCCTAGCTCAGAGGCGTGATAGAGAAAGCAAACTGACAAAGTTTATGGTAAGTTTATAAATGTTTATTGCATGCTTTTCAGACTTTTTTTTTTGTTTAATTTAGTTTGTATATTTGTATAAAAGTATATAAAAGTGTTTGCTGGTTTAAAACCAAATGTTCAGTGATGCATGTCTCTTTAAAAATATAGTCTCTAAACATTTAACACCAAGATTATAATGGGATTTGCATATACACCTACATCTTGTTTGCAAGCTCACTACACAGATGAGCAATGCCCAATTCTTGGGTTTACCAGACATGCTGGCATACCTGTCCAGGATTTAAAATGTTTATTTTTATATACCCATCTATCTACCCACCTATCTACCCACCTGTCTGTTGGTTCATCTGCCCGTCCGTCTATCTATCTAAGGTTGGGCTGGGACTTAAAATAGGCTGAGGTATTTATAGCACACAAGAGCCCATTTTAAACCAATTCCTACCTGCCTTTAAACTTCCAAAAACATTGTTCTCCTGGGACCCCCCCCCCATGAAATTGCCCTTATATTATCAGACAAGGCTATGATGATTCTGAAGCGTATTTGTACAATCCTTGTGAATATATATCAGGTGAGCTGAAGCAGGAAGAATCAAGCAGATTATTGGAAATGTATGACAACTTTTTGGATATATTGCTTTATTTAGTTAAAAAGAAGGTAAAATCATGAATATTTCCTATGTACAATACTGAACCTGCTGTCCCTGCCTTATTATCCTGAAACCAAGCACATGTTTCTGGAGGGTGAACGCGAGGGTTCTGTATGCTAGTCTGCAGACTGTATCAAATCAAAGGAAAAGCCAGAAGTGGTCTGGAGTAACTCTTGGATCATGCAAGCAGTTCAGTGGAGTCACAGTGGAAACCACTGGTAACTAATAGTAAGTTTCGGAAACTTAGCAGCCCCTGAAATGGTCAAGTTGCCTGTCAGCAGGCTAAAACCGATCAAGGATGCCAGGTAGATTCCATGGACCATGCAATGTCCACATGCACAAGCAAGAATCCAGAAACCCTAGGTATTCCTACCACCCAGGCTTAGCAAACTATACTCTATGCCTTCTAACATCACATGAGCAATGAACACTGCATGGCAAAAAACCTTGGTTTGACTGAATCAATTCATATGAAAATAAAATAGTTTGGGTAGTCCGATAGTCATCTATGTGGTTGATCGGCTTGTCCAAATATTCTCCATGCAAAAATGTTCAATGAGAACATTAGGACAAACCAAAAGGGCGCAAAAATGGGCCAATGAATGTACTGCAAAATATAAACATGAAATAAATATTAAGTATATATTTAAACTACAGTGAGATTAGTATTTTCACGCCATTTGGTTTACTGATTAAATGAGAAGTAACCAATAGACAGAAACAAAGTAAGAGCAATTAAACAATCTATTTATATATTTGATATTTCATATAAATCGAGATCTTTTTTACTGCTCCTTTTTTCCCTTCTGTTGTTCACTTCTCACTTGATATGCGAATTAAAAACAACACTTAGTGACTGTCCCCTAGTCATTAATGATCTATTTTCCCATCGATTCTGTTTTTGCCTCATGGATGGAACTCTGAATCATGAATTAAATGAACACGCCCAAACATGTGCAATCCTTTGGTGGTTATACCTCCATTTGGCACTTCAGAGTTGTGGAATTCGCATGACCTGCCAATCAGCTTAAATGGGAACAAACTGCAATTTGTCTGGAAAACAATGCACAAGTCTACTTAGTACTGTCAGCCAATCAGTGCTCTGTCTCAGAGAAGAGTACACATCAGACAACACGACATTCAACCAGTATACTAAATGGCCAGTCTGAACCTGTATCTGTCTGTCTTTCTCTCTCTCTATCTGTCTGTCCCTCTGCCTGCCTGTTTATTTATCTCTCTGTATGTCTGTCTCTCCCTTTCTCTATCTGTCTCTCACTCTGTTTATCAGTTTATCTGTCTCGATCACTCCCTGTATGTTTCTCTATCTGTCTCTCCTACTGTTCCTCTATCTTCTAGATATCGATATCCCTCTTTCTCTGTTTGTATGTCTAAGTGAATGTGTGTGTGTGTGTCTGTAAGTGAATGTGTGTTTGTGTCTAAGTGTGTGTCTGTAAGTGTGTGTGTGTGTGTCTGTGAGTGAATGTGTGTGTGTGTCGGTCAGTGAGTGTGTATGTTTCAGTCAGTGAGTGCGTGCGTCTGTCAGTGTGTGCCTCTGTCAGTGAGAGTGTGCGTCTGTCAGTGAGTGTGAGTCTGTCAGGGTGTGTCCGAGTAATAGTGTCTGTCTGTCTATCAGTGTGTGAAATCAGTGAGTGTGTGTGTGTATGTCATTGTTTGTCAGTGTATATGAGAGTGTGTGCCTGTCACTCAAAGTGCGGCTTTGACAGGAAGGGGTGGGGAAATTTTAAATTAGGGGGAGGAGGGGTGCCCAAGCACCGTCCTGCCTAGGGCAGCACAAATTCTAAATACACCACTGGTCCCACCTCACAAATTCTAAAAGACTTCCTTCTTGCTGGCTCCTGTGCCCTCGTTCAGCTCTCTCTCTGTAACTCATAACTAGAAATTGTTCTGTCACCTCCTAATCTACAGTGTCTAATAACATCAACGTACATGTCGACAAAAAGCACATCAACTTTTTAAGTAAGGTGTAGTTCATATGTTTTTCATAATACACAAGATCCAGCGCACTCACTTATCCACTAAACAGCAACTTCAATGTTGACAGATTGTATTAGTTTTTTAAAAAACACCTAATCTAAGCAAAAATAATGAGGGTTTAGTAACATTATATGATCATACATTGATAAGCCCGCCACAACGTCAATGTACCCCATCTTTGGCAGGTCCTACTCTAACAGCCTAATGTCTGCTCTTATAAGATTAACCCACTTACTTGGGGGAAAAAATTCAATCTGGGGCTCTCTGCAGTACAAGGCTAAATAGGGCCCTGGGGTGAGGCACCTGTAACAGGGAGGGGTGCAAAACTAAGGAATTAGCTAGACTCCCAAATGAATGTGTGTGTATATATATATATATATATATATATATATGAAACCAGAGAGCTGCACTCAACCCCCTCCCCCGCCCCGTCACAGGTGCCTCACCCCAGGGCCCTATTTAGCCTTGTACTCAGGGCCGGATTAAGAGCACACTGGGCCTGGTGCTGACAAATATGATGGGCCTAATTACGGAATCTTATCGACCAAAAACACTAAACCAGTCATACCTCCCAAGCGTCATGTATCTGATGAAGATGGTGCTGGAGGGAAACTCAAAGGATGCAGCTATAAGAAAACACATACTCTATGCTAATATCTCTCTAATTTATGCTTTCCTCTTTCAAGTAAATCCATAACCCCTAACAGCAGTGTCCAGTGAAGCAGGAAGTTAATGAAGTCCAGACTTGCCAAAAGGGGAGAACATGCCCAAAAAGGGGGCATGTCTGTCCAAAGAATTTGAAGGACAATCTGGCATGAATGCATGTCAGGCTGCCCACCAATCCTGCAGGCTGTCCAACTAAGGGCATACTATGCAGGCAGCACCATGAGCTTGACATAAATGCATCTAATGATGCGCTCACTCCGTGCTTTCTAAGGACTTTCCCCTATCACTCGCTGGTCCACTTGTCACCTTGCCTTCTTAATAGCAGGCAGAAGTTCCTGGTATATAGTCTGAGACAGAGAAAAGGTGTATGTAGTGAGTGTAGAAGAAAGGGGACATGCCACAGTTTTAGAGAGATCAGCGTCTGCATTACCTAAACTAATTTTATTGTCAGCTAGTCCACACAAGTTTTGTTCCCATACATCCCTCTTAAGCTTCCAAACTTAAAGGGACACTATAGTCACTACACTACAGCTTATTGTATTTGTTCTGGTAAGTATAATCATTCCATTTAGGCCTTTTGCAGTAAACACTGTCTTTTCAAAGAAAATAACTCCACTGGCCACTCCTTAGATGGCTGCTAGAGGTGCTTGCTGGGGCTGTACTGCCTAGTATGCAGCACTGCCATTCAGTGTCTCCACCCTCTGCATGCAGACACTGAACTTTCCTCATAGAGATGCATTGATTCAATTTATCTTTATGAGGAGATGCTGATTGGCCAGGGCTATGTTGGACTTGTGCTGGCTCTGCCCCTGATCTGCCTAGTTGACAGTCTCAGCCAATCCTATGGGGAAGTTTTGTAATTTGCTCAGACCACCACTTCTGATGATGTCAGCAGACAGTCAATTCAGAGGCAGAGCTAGCAGCTGCAGACTTGAATACAAGTTATATCTTACCATACTTAGGGAGGCAAGAAGGGGTCAGGGTGGTGGTTTTAGCATAATAGGGTCAGAAATACATGATTGTGTTCCTGACCCTATAGTGCTCCTTTAAGCAAGAGTATGTGAAGAGTAGTTAGGGTTGCC